AGCAAAATTATCTTCTTTAAAAGTAAGTAGCCTCAAAATGAATCTATAGTGACAGTAAGCATGTCAGTGGTTATCTGGAGCTAAGGCAGAGGAGAGGGAGGATGAACTGCAAAGGGGCACCAGGGAAATTTCTAGGATGAGAGAAATGTTCTATATATTGACTAATGGTGGATGCACAGGTATATTCATATGTCAAAACTCATCAAACTTTACAATTTAAAGGGTGCATTTTGTTATATATAAATTTTGCCTCAATAACTGGTTGTTTCAAAAGGTAAGCAGCCTCCCTGGTCTTCTATTAATTACATTACTATATTTTCTCTTTTCCATGACATTTATCAGTATATAAAATTATTTCATTCATTTCTTTATATGTCTATTCCCCAACTCCTCCCCACATCAGAATAGAAACTCTTTGAGGGCAAGGGCTCTGTCTGTCTTGTCCACCACTATAACTCTGGCATTTAGAACTATGCCCAGAACACAGTAAGAGCACAGTAAATTCTTCTTGAATTTATTCAGACTAACTGATTAAAATCCTTCAATGGTTCTACCACCAAATTATACACTGATTTCATCCATTCTCATCATCCTTACTCCACTACTTTAACCTAAGGTAACAATAATTTCTTGCTTGGATTATGCAATGGTGTCTCTGGAGGGTGTCCTTACTTCTACCACTGCCCCCTCATTTCAGTCTCCAAAGAGCCCTTACAGCGATCTTTAAAAAATTTAAATCAGATCACATTACTTCTCTGCTTTAAAAAAAAAATGTGGAAAAATTTGATTAAGAGGCTGAATAAGTGAATAAGAAAAGGAAAGTCAATTTAAAACTCTAGGAAAATACAAAAGCTATATAAGAAAAGTTGTGATCCTAATATGAAATAAACTAAAATGTAAAGTTGGAGCACTTATAAATTTTGGTCCACAAATTCAAAACTACCTCAACTATTAATGATGGGGTGGGGGAATAGCCCTCAGAGCAAAAAACTAGTCTTCTATCTGCATAGGTTACCTCTTAAATGTCTGTTGTGCCAGGACTTCCCTGATAGCACAGTGGTTAAGAATCTGCCTGCCAATGCAGGGACACTTGTTCGAACCCTGGTCTGGGAAGATCCCACATGCTGCGGAGCAACTAAGCCCGTGTGCTACAACTACTGAGCCTGGGCTCTAGAGTCCATGAGCCACAACTACTGAGCCCACGTGCCTAGAGCCCGTGCTCTGCAACAAGAGAAGCCACCGCAATGAGAAGCCCACGCACTGCAATGAATAGTAGCCCCTGCTCGCTGCAACTAGAGAAAGACCGCACGCAGCAACGAAGACAAAACGCAGCCAAAATAAATAAATAAATAAAAGAAAATTAAAAAAAAAATGTTTGTTGTTCCAGTCTACATGCCTTTTTTTTTTTTGGCTGCGTTGGGTCTTCATTGTTGTGTGCGGGCTTTCTCTAGTTGTGGCAAGCAGGGGTTACTCTTGGTTGTGGTGTGCGTGCTTCTCATTGCGGTGGCTTCTCTTGTTAAACAGCATGGGCTCTAGGTTGCGGGCTTTGGTAGTTGTGGCACACAGGCTCAGTACTTTTGGCTTGTGGTCTAGAGCGCAGGCTCAGTAGTTGTGGCGCACAGGCTTAGTTGCTCCGTGGCGTGTGGCATCTTCCCGGACCAGGGATCGAACCCGTGTCCTCTGCATTGGCAGATGGATTCTTAACCACTACACCACCAGGGAAGTCCCTACATGCCCTTTATATCTGATGAATCTCTACTGCCTTCCTGCCATGGTGGGACACATGTGTCTTCTGTGAGGTCACCCAGAGTCTCATGTGCCTAAACACACAATGCAGCTGGGACTATCTTGAGTCTTGCCACTTCCCCAACATACTACCAAAAAGTGAACCCTGGTCTTCCCTCATCAGAATTTACCAAAGTGAATCTCCTGGTCTTAGGGGAGAGGCCCTGCTTCTCTGAGACATTGTATAAACCCACAAGACACATTCCCTTTTGTTTCTTTCCCTAAATCCTATAATTTCTCTAAAGATATTAAGGTTGGGGGAAACTAAATCTGGAGAAAGTACAAGAAATGTATTTATTCTATTCCATTAGATATCTCACCCTAGGTAAAGAAGTACCAAATTGGCTCCCTACTTGAGTGGGGAAGGGGGAAATAAGAAACCAAGGAGCAATGAAAATGTGTAAATTAGTATCTCAAAATATTGCCTAGCTATAGGTAGTATGGCTACTCCCCCTAGTAAATTTTTGTGTCTTCAACAAAGAAAATTTATTTTTGACCTAGATTTAACCTTCTCAATAGCATGGAGTCTGAGGTTTGAATTTTCCAGGGCAATAGGCACTGTGACTGTCTCCCCAACATTCCCATTCTGTCTTGTGATTAGTCTAAACAATTCGTGGCAATTTACCCCCTTGTCAGTGACTGGTCCACAGATGGACAAACCTAAGCCATCCAGGTCTCATTTGGGTCAATGTGATTTTTTTTTTTAATATAAATTTATTTATTTATTTATTTTTGGCTGCATTGGGTCTTCATTGTTGGGTCTTCGTTGCCATGTGCAGGCTTTCTTTAGTTGCGGTGAGCAGGGGCTACTCTTCATTGGGGTGCATGGGCTTCCCATTGAGGTGGCTTATCTTGTTGCGGAGCACAGGCACTAGGTGCATGGGCTTCAGTAGTTGTGGCACAAGGGCTCAGTAGTTGTGGCTCACGGGCTCTAGAGCACAGGCTCTGCAGTTGTGGTGCACGGGCTTAGTTGCTCTGTGGCATGACCCAGACCAGGGCTCGAACCTCTGCCCCCTGCATTGGCAGGAGGATTCTTAAGCACTGTGCCACCAGGGAAGTCCCTGGGTCAATGAGATTTAAGGAAAGCCTCGGTGAGGGCCCTAGGAAAGAAACTTCCTAAATCTTTAGCGTCATGGAAAGACAGGCTCTCTCTTTTCTTATAAGTTGTGAATGAGGAAGCACAGAGTTCCCATTGCCACTGGCAGTCGTGCCACAACAATAAAGGTAATTGGATTTAGGGTAAAGACTAAACTGTGGATGCCAGAGCAAAGCAGCAGAAAGATGATGCAATTATCGTTTAGCTATGGGGTCCTGCCCTAACTCTTTCTTTGTTGTTTAAACCAATGTGAATTGACTTTTCTGTTACTTGCTGCTCAATGCATCCTACCTGATACAGAGAATTTGGTGCCAGGAATAGACGTGATGCAAATAACAGACTTAGTGGGTTGTATGGTGGCCCTCCAAAAAATACGTCCACACCCTAATCCCTGGAACCTGTGAATGTTACCTTCCTTGGAAAAGGGGTCTTCGGCAGACGTGATTAAGTTACATTTAATTATTTTCAAGTTCAGCTGGATGTTGAAGAGACACCAACTAAAGACATTTTAATTTTAAAAATTCACATTTGACCTTTATTACGTGATCACTCCTCAAGATCAAAAGTCTTTTCAATAGAACTTCATATGGCTCAGAAGTTTAAGGATTTTTAAAGAATAATAATTTCGTTTCATGACTTTTTTTTTTTTTTTTGAGGTACGCAGGCCTATCACTGCTGTGACATCTCCCGTTGCAGAGCACAGGCTCCGGACGCGCAGGCCCAGAGGCCATGGCTCACGGGCCCAGCCGCTCCGTGGCACGTGGGATCTTCCCGGACCGGGGCACGAACCCGTGTCCCCTGCATCGGCAGGCGGACTCTCAACCACTGCGCCACCAGGGAAGCCCATCGTTTCCTGACTTTTTTGACAATGTTACTAATTTCGGGAATTTATTCTCCTGTAACTACAATCCTAGTCTGGGAATCTAAACACCTGAGTTCTGTCAAGGCTATGATGCTAGGGGACCTCCCATAAGTCACTTCCTCCTCTGAGCATTAGTTACTCCTATGGGACTATCAGCAGTTTCCAAGTGCCCAGATGCATCAGAATCATCTAGGTCCTTTTGACAAATACAGATTTCTGGGCCCCACCCAAGCCTAATGAATCAGATTTTCTAACACCAAGGCCCAGGAATCTGTATTTTAATTAACCAGGTGATTATGATATACACAGCCAAGTTGGGGAACTACTGAATTAGATAAACTCTAGTGTTCCTCGTAGCTCCAAAAATTTGATTTTCTGATTTCTGTTTCTTCTATCGCTATCCTGTCTCTGCTACTAGATATTGTGCTAAAATACAAAAACAAAACCACAAAATAAAGAGTGAAAAACCAAGACCGTGATTCAACCATATTTGTATGCTTCTAGCACCTACACAGGGCCTCGTCTATAGTAGGCACTCAGGTAATATTTGAAGAATTAATCAATGGTGATTAAACAAACGAGTGTTACTTCATGTGAGTCCCAATCACCTATGGATACAGAAATCCATAAAAGAGAGCACAGTGCCTCGTCTATAGTAGGCACTCAGGTAATAGTTGAAGAATTAATCAATGGTGATTAAACAAATGAATGTTACTTCATGTGAGCCCCAATCACCTATGGATACAGAAATCCATAAAAGAGAGAGAAAATACTATGATAAACTTTTGCGTGATATAATCTTGCACTCCCTGTTTGTCCTACTACATACTTCAAATAATGGTTTATGTGAATAAGGTTAATGCATATTTAGAGACACGAGAGGAAAGTGGTTGAGTTCTCCTGTGGGCTACATAATCCCACAAAATTTCCCAGTGGTGGTGATAACTGAGGGAGGCTCATGATTCAGCAGGAACTAATTTTCCTCTCCTTGACTCCTCCAGGTCAAGAAAAAGCCATATCCTGATTGGGTGACAGATGTTCTTGGGGCCAGGCTGCAGGTCTTTGAACCTGTAAAGGCCCCCTCAGGTTTCTGTGAGGCCCCAGTGAGTAGGAACACTTTCTGTTAGAAGTTATCCATAAATTCACCACCAACAGGTAGAGTGTCAGCCAAGCAAGGTGTCCCCAGAACATCTGATACCCCCTCATGTGACCCTACAGTGCCTTCTCCCGCCCCCCCTCCTCCATACTCCACTGACCACCCCTTGGGCTTCCCCAGGTCAGACACTGTCTGCTGGCCTTGGAAGGTACCGCCTCAGGATGAAATCTGTCACAGGGGTGGGAAACTTAGCCAAGGGGAGGTAGAGGAGTTTGACATCCAGGCCAGGGTTGTAGTGGATGTGGGGGTTCTGGGAAACAGTAGCATGCTCCATGCTGTTAGTGATTTCACTGATCCTTGACTCTGCCAGCTGTATCGTGTTCTTTAACTTGTCAGTATCTGTTTGAGGGTACAAGAGGGGGAAAAATCAAAGGCTCTATTATTCTTCATTAAAGATTGTTTCTTCTGAATTCCATCCAAGCTCCTTGTTCACCAGACCACTGATCTAATATTTCAGGCAGATTTCACAAGCTCCAGGTTGCCCCTTAAACAAACACCCTATAAATAATCTTATTTCTCTTCCCGAATTCAATAGTTGTGAATTAAATTCCTACTATTGCATTAGACTAGCAATGAGAAGAACTGTGCCCAGTTCTGCCACTTATTAGTTGTGTGACTTTGAGCTTAAACTATCATCATCTATAAAATGGGGATAATAATACCTGCCCTAGAGAATAATAACGATGAATAATAGCAGGGTAGACAGTGGAGGAAAGAGGAGAGAAAACAGGTGAATATAAGCGCACAGAAAAATTGGAAGGAAATAAGGAAAAATACTGTCTGTCTGGTGATATTCCTAGTCGCTGGAGGTTTTTTTTTTCCTCCTGTGGACTACCTAGAGTTTCCAAATTTTCTACAAAAGCATGCAGGGAAAAGATGTTATTAAAAAATAGTAGCACTGCCTTTGCTTTGGTCATAAGGTCATTATGGGGCTCAGAGGAGCTAAGGCACAGACAGGTACCTTGTAAGGCTCTAGCAAATGTGAGGGGCTGTTCCGTTAGCATGGTACACACGGGTGTGGACATGGGTCTAAGTCTGCTGTAGCTTACCACACAGATAGGAGACAAGCCACACGATACGCTTAGGGAGCCCTGACCTGCACCCTCACCCCAGGACTCTGGGAAGGGGGTAGCTCAGTGGGACTCATATTTCACTGAGCGCCCCAAGGACTCAGGAGGAAGTGGTGCCTGAGAGTCAGACTTCGTGATAAGGGATTAGAACTTAAAAACAAAGAGGAAGCAAAAGCTAGCCTGACTTGGGTGTGGTCCAGGAAGGCAGAGAAGTCACCCCTTCTGTGCAGGACACTGGTGGGCAGTTGGTGAGGGCAGAACGGTGTCGTTCAAGTATGCTTTACCCCCCCCTCCGACTCCGAGGAACTCCTTCTGTTTCTTAAAGAGAAAACTACTGCAGTGAAAAGAGGTAAACTACATATTAGGGGTCCCAAAAAGAGCCACACTGACTTAAAGCCAGGCTGTCTATAGAGCAGTAATGTCTTAGGAATCCGACGCTCTGTGCTCTGTCCTTGGGTCTGACACAGAATCCACCCCCAGCAGGTTCCAGGCGGGGAAGCGAGTGTCAAAGGACTCATTCATGAAGCTCGGGGTTACGGCTCCCTCAGAGGCAGGGAAGTCTGTGTGGGCTTGATGAGGATGAGGCAAGCTGATGGGATGAGATGGCTTTGGACCCACAAGCTGATGGGGTGGAAGAAGCTGCCTGAGACTCTGAAATAGTCTAAGGCACATCCTCTCCATGTTCTCTCAAATAGTTATTGCACTCCTGCTTTGTGCTGGGCACCCAGCTAGACATGGATTGAGGGAGACAGGGGTACCCTTTAGCCCCTGTCAGTCTCCTGGACGGTGAGGAAGAACTCAGGCTTTGCATTTGGGCATCCAGGAAACGTTTGTGCTATTGTGAGAATTCAGCAAAATAAAGTCTATGAAACAGCAGGCACTAGGCTTTGGCACTCATATGGACCCAACGGTCCTAGTCCCTCCCTAGGGAGAAAGGGGACTAAAAGGGGAATTTTTGGTGGCTTCCCTGGCAGGGTTGAGATAAAGAAAGAAACTTGGCAGGTGGCTGTGTTGCTGCGAAGTATGCTAACAAGCCAGGCTGTGCTCTGTGAGGACCAGAGCACTGTGTCCTGTTCACATGCTTATCCCAGTGACTCTGTGTGCTGCTTCTTCGGGAATGTGCCTAGGTTAGGTTGCTATTAACTAGCCATTTCCAATATGGTTCTATTTTGGGGATAGCTAAAAATCACTCCAAGATACCTGGCCTGTTCCCGGATTCACAAGCCAGGGGCCGGTTTGATTGGCCATAACAGCTTGCTGGAGTTCATGTCCAGTGGTGCTTGTGACCACTCCTAAATATTTCTTCAGTCTGTCTCCACAGCACCTGCCCCACCCCCAACACTACCCCACATACATACATACTTCCCACAATGCCCAAGACCTTTCACTTCATGCCTTTGTCGGTCCTTCACTGGGTTTCTGAGGTGGCCTCCCAGCTGGTCTCACGTCTCCACCCTCATCCTTCCCACGGCACACAAATCTGATCAGGTCATTTCAGAGCCATTTAATAAAAGGCTCTCCGAAGTCCTTCAGGATGAGAGCCACATTTCTTTTTTTTTTTTTTTTTTACAGCCACACTTCTTATTGGAGCCATCAAAGTCTTCTACTATCCGACTCGTAACGTCTCCCGGCTTCATCCCCATGCCCACCTCTTTACACTTTACACTCAGGCCAGACTAGTCATAACAACGATGGCTAAGATTGTTGAGCCCTTATCATATGGCTGAGCTGAGTACTTTACATTCTTGTTTAACTCTCCTAACAACCCACGAGAGAGGAATTATTATACTTTATCGTGGAGAGACTGAAGTATAGAGAGTTGTGTAACACGGTTAGAGAGACTACTGTCGTCTATAGCTTGCATCCACACCACCTTCGAAAGCACACAAGTGCTATGGCAGGTCTCCAAACTGTTGCTCGTGCTCTTCCCTCTGTGAAACATTTGCCATCTTTTTCCCTTTTGGTGAACTCCTATTTATTCTTCAAAACTCACTAGGACACCAATGGTCACCTCTGTGAAGGCTTTTGTGACAGCAGAATTAAGTCCCTGTACTGTTGCTTTGTTTGTTTGTTTTTAAAATTTACGTCCTTTAATTAATTAATTAATTAATTTATGGCTGTGCTGGGTCTTAGTTTCTGTGCGTGGGCTTTCTCTAGTTGCGGCGAGCGGGGGCCACTCTTCATCGTGGTGCGCGGCCCTCTCACTGTCACAGCCTCTCCTGTTGTGGAGCACAGGCTCTAGATGCACAGGCTCAGTTGTTGCTTTGTTTTGTATGCATGTCCATTGTTGCATAATTTGTGTGGCGTTATACTTGCTTTCAGGCCTCCCCTTCTAGATTCCTAGAGATTTTTGTCTCATCTGTGTATCCCAGTAAACACTAGTAAAACTGAAGTGAAAATTAGAGTATGATCACTCGGAAAATTTTTTATCTAAAAGTAGTCAAATGCCTGCGTAAAAATTTTCCTCTGAAATCGTGGAGAGAACTACAGATGAATCAGCCTATAGTATTTTATAACCCCACCCTTACTTTTCTTCTGAAGAACATCAGCTTTTCAACAGTGGTTTTCAGAGGAAGTTCGCCTTTCTACACATTCTTTTAGGGACCTCACTGAAGACTCTCCAGCTTCTGCCTGCATTGAGCTACTTAGAAAACGTCTTTGTGGTTTCCAGATGCTGGCTGAGTCTGTGTTTCACCCCAGCCTCATAGTGACCCCATAAATAATTTGGATCATTCTTTGCTAACTGAGAGTTTTAGGGGAAACTCACAGGGAATATATATTATCCTCCCCCCAACCCCCAAACAGTTATTCCCCTTGTTGATAGCAACAGCTACAGATTTCTCTCTGGGAATCCACGCCTCTTCCATTCTGAGTCCTTTGGTCTAGGTAGAGTGCATGACCCAGCCTAAGCCAATCAGAGCTTCACATTTCCCCGGGCACAGTGACGGGCTCAGGGTTGAGTACATCCTGCAATTCCCTCTGCTTCTGCCATCATTGGCCCACCAAGTCAGAGTAAATCTTAGACCGTTTGGGGGAGCTACTGGAAAGGACTATCCTGGGAGGAGATGAGGAGATGCTGCAGCCATGGGACCCCACCAACAGGGGAGAGAGCTGTAAGCCTGAAGCTAGTACAGAAGAAGCAGAGCCAAGAAATAGGGTGATTTGAAATGAAAATAGAGCTTTCCTCAGCTAGTGGAGGGTTTACCACAGCTGGATTGTAAAGGACAAGTGTCAGCTGAGAGAGCACAAGACAAAGGGCAGTCACATGGATTAGCACAGCTGGTGTATTAGCTCTAATTCTATCGATTTATTTAGCATTTGAAACATCCAGCCCTCTGTTCAAATATTTATTGCAATTCCTGGTTACTTTAAGACCTCTAACAGGCCTGAATAAATCTATAAGTACTGAAAAAAAAAAAAAGAAATAGGGTGAAAGCAGGTCCTAAGAACATCATTTGTGGACTGGATCAGGCAGTGCCTGAAGCCCATATCCTTATACTTTTTAGTAATAAGCATCAAGAAATTCCTTTTCTGCTTAAATGATTTGGGTTGGATTTTCTGTCACCTGTAACTGAGAAAGCCCTAACTGATCCTCAGAACTTTTTACTTCTCCTCACAGAATTCTAATATGTCCAGAACTGAAAGATTACTTTCCCCAAGGAATACTTCTCCAAATACTTCTCCCTGACTTTTCCCTAAATCAATGAATGAATGATGCCTCCACCCATCAGGTTTCTTGAACTAAACCTAGCACTTGTCCTGGATGGCTTTCTCTCCCTCCCAGTACCAGGAGGTCTAATACACACCGGGCATCTATCAACTTCTTTCCATCTCCTCCACTTCTCTGTAGCCCAAACCACCGACATGTGTAGCCTGGAATACTGCAGCAACCACAGCAGGCTTTCCCAATCACAAATCAGATCACATCCTTAATCCTCAGTGTGCTTTGATGCTCTAATTTATCCTGGGTCTCTTCTGCTCCCCCTGCACTGCTCCCCACCCTCTGGTATCTTTAAAGTTCCTCTAAGGGAACTCAGTGCCTCAGGGCCTTCCTGAAAAAACTTTCTTGCCTATCCACTTTCCAACAATGCCTAACTTATTCTTCCCCAAAGTCAACTCAGAGAAGCCCTCCCTACACCATAATCTAAACTGGGGCCCCACTCCCAACCCTATTCTTTTTTTCATGGCCTTGTGTTTCTTCCCATGGTCATTATCCACATTTGTCACTAAATGTGTGTGTTGTTATTAAGATCTATCTCCTCCACTGGGCCTTAAGCTGCAGGCAGCCAGCTGTGTGCCCTGCTGTTTTGTCCACTCTCACCCCCGGCCCTACCCAGTGCCTGGCATGTGGTAGGCTCTCAATAAAATGCGCATTAGGTGAATAAATGGCTGTTATGGTTTTTAAGTTATGGTGTCTTGGCTTTTTACTCTGTGGATGTATGAGGTCTAGGAGAGCAATTCACTAAAATAACTACCCCTGCCCCCCAGACAGTTAGATACTTGCCATTAATTTAACTGAGTGATTATATTTAGCCCATTCAGGGTTTCTGGGTATATGTTTAAAATTCATCACTTTGGATGATTGCTAGTTAAGAATATCTCTTTGCAACACAGCTCGCAGGTACCAGTGTACTAGAGAAAAGGAGGCCATGCTCTTTTTCTCTATTACACTGGTAATAGATAAAAACAACAAACTTTTAAATCAAATTGTTCCTACCAGGAAGCAGATAATATTCTAAGCACTTTTTATATATTAACTCATTTAATTTTTATAACCCATTACAGATGAGAAAACTGAGCAACTGGCCCAAGGCAAGCAGGAGAGATGAAATTTACAGTCAGGCAGCCTAATTTCAGAGTCTAAGAGCTTAAAACCACAACAGGAAATTGCCTCTCAGGGATGTTCATGGAAGTCAAGTAAAAGAGAGGGAAAAAAATCTGGCTTAGGGAAATATATGACTAGGCCACTGAGGCCCAAATGGAGCAGGATGGGGCTGAGAGCCGGCTGCTTCACTCTGGACCAAGGGAACCTCCTGAGCCAGAAAAATGCCAGCCTCACCTTTCTGTCCCACACAAGGGCAGCTCCAAGGGTGGCCCTGAGGGTCTGTTCCGCCTCCAGGCACTTGGAGGGAGAAATGGAGAGAAGCAGGAAATCTTGTGAATGATCCTCTCCTGAAACCAACTGGCTTGGCTTTGGGATTAGATGCTCTGAGTGAATGTGGGGCCTCCCAGTCCTCAGAGTAGGCCTCTCCCTCCTACCACAAGGTACTCCACCAGGTCTTTTGGCCAATCCCTCCTCCGCTGCACCTGCAGGCCACCCCTCCTCTTGTTCTCCAATGGTGGGGGCTCCGTGCATCCCTCAAACTGGAAGAGTTCCCCAAACTGTGAGTTTGGGACAGTATAGTAAACAGCTGTGATGTCCCTCCTCTACTCTCCAGAAACACCTGAGATTCACAGGAGGCCCTTAGGCCAGGGAGAAAGAGAGCCCCTTCCTTTAAAACATTCGCGTGATTTTCCTCTTTACTGATTTGACAAGCACTTAGTGCATGAGAGATACTTCACAGACATTAATCCTCACAGCAGCACTGTGAGGTAGGCACTATCATTAACTCCATTTTATAGATGAGAAGACTGAGGCTTAAGGCGACTAGGTAACATTCTCAAAGTCTCCTCCTAGCCCGTAAGTGGCAGAGCCAGGCTTCAAACCCAGGCAGTCTGGCTCAAGTAGCTGTGCTCTTAATAACTTCTCTGTACTCATGGCAGTGTATTTTCACCTGATTCACCTGCATACGGATGTTTGGGGGGAAAGCAGGTGCCAGGGGCGGGGGGGGCAGCATCTTTCTTAACACCCCCATCTCCCCGCAGCTATGGTTTTGTCACTCCCCCAGCAGTTCTCAAATCCCAGCTCTGCCACCAGCTGTGTGGCCTTGGGCTCATAACCCCTCTGAGCCTCCATCCATCATCTGTAAAATGAAAGTGGGTCAGTGACCCCCCAAGACCTTTCCATCCCTCTCAGAGATCCCTTTCTCTCCTGGGGAACGCACAGATATGGAAGTACTCCTCTCCATAGCTCTCGCGGGTCTCCTGAGGCAGCCGCTCCCACAGCTTGCACGTGCTCTTCTCCATGCCCTCCGGGTCCTTCTTGCCCAGAATGGATGTCCGGTAGTTCCCCGGCTCAATGATGCTGACTTTCACCCCAAAGTAGTGGAGCTCACGCCTGGGAAAGAAGAGCTGGACTCAGTCTGGGACTCCACAATGACAAAGGATCATCAGGGAAAGTCACCTCTGACACCTCTAGAGGAGCTGATCTCCAGAGATCAGGAACCTGGAGGTGTGCCCCCCACCCCTGCACCAGGCCCAGCATGGCTTTCATGCAAATAAGCCCTTTCCCAAGCCTGTCTCTGGACAATTCACATTAGGCAAGCCTAGCCGGGAGGAATTTAGACCAAAGCCTTGCTCCGACCAGGTCCCTCCCACTCAGCCCCACCCCCAATGCCTAGGTGGCAAAGGAGTGAAGGGATCTATGCAAGGCTTGCATCCTTCTCAGAGGGCTGCCCACAGCACATCTGCCCCCAGACCTCTCCGTCTGTTTGGAGGACTCTCCCTCCTACTCCCACAGGCCCAAGCAGCGTGTTGCTTATTCTGAGACAGCTCAAGGGAAGGCTGCTCATCACCACCCCACCTCTTCTCATTCCTCTTCTCTGGGTCCCTGAGGAAGGCCCCTGGAGGTCTAGCCTTCCTCCTGCTACTGTTTCAGCATCTTCTCTCCAGATCTCCCCTGCCCACAGGGTGCCCCCACCCAGCCCTCTCTTCCTAAGGTGAAACCCCCAGAACTCCTACCCTGAATGGTTTGGCACCTGGGCCCAGTCACCTGATGCTGTCAGAGAAGGCCTCGACGCCAAACTTAGAGACGCAGTAGCCGCCACCAATGACAGCCACATGGCCACCAGAGCTGGACATTTTGACGACCCTGCCCTGGGCTTTCTTGACCATGGGCAGCTTATGGAGAGTCACTTCGATCAGTCCCACCAGGTTCACGTTGATCACCTTCACATAGTCTTCCTTGGTCAGCCATTCATTGGGACCACTGGGCAGGCCTACACCAGCATTGTTCACCAGGGCCCAGAGGCCTGGGGGCACAGTGGAGGGAGGGAGAACCAGACAAAAATCAGCAGTGTCTCTGGAAAAGCACCAGGGTCCACGACCCCCCAGCTCAGGGCTGCTGAGGATGGTTGAGCATGTCACAAGGCACAAGACAGCCAGTCTGGCAGTGTGTGTGGGGGGAGCTATGACAGCCCAAAGGAACATGGGCCTTTTACTAATGGGTTTTCCCTAAAGGGGCAGTTTTTCTGATTCACACAGTCTGCCAGCTAGCTGGACACTGTACCAGCTACAATCCAGGCTTTAGCTAATAGCATCTAAGCTATTGGCTCTGGGAAAAGAGATCTCATTGTCCTACCAATGAATTAATGTTTCAATTCCTTCCCCCATCATGCTTCCCCCTCTCTGTTCACCTGAGTGTAAGAAACCAACTCCATTTCACACATTACCAAAATTACTCTGTTCATTCATTCATTCATCCATTCACACATTCATTCATTTCATGCATCTGTCAGTTACAGAGGAAGGTGCTAGAGACATTAAATGAACAAAACATGGTCTTAATCCTCAACGATCTCAGAAACCAGAGAAGAAATAAATCAGACTTATAAACAAATACAGAAGACATTCAAATAAAATAATTTTGGAAAAATGTGAAAAGGGCTCCCTTTGAGATAGTTAAATTGAGTTGGTATAAATGGAGAGAAATATTGCTAGGTATTGTCATTCACCTCTGCAAGAGCCAGGCTTGAAGAGCCTCAAGTTCTAGTCCTGGTTCTACCTCCAGCCTTGGACAGGTCACTTCCTTTCCCTGGGCCTCAGGTTCATTGTTGAGTGGATTAGGACAGTTGTTTCCAACCTGTGGTTTGCAGTGCTGAGAGCTTTCAGGCTGAACCCCAGAACCTGATAAGGAAGGGAGATGCAGGAGAACCTCAATTTTCATTTGTCTTACATACTGAGGTTCCAAGTAAAATTCCACTTGGGGGACGGGCTTGGGGTTCCTTCCCTTTCCCTCCCCTTACCTCACTACCCCACCTTGGCCTCTGTAGCCTCAAGATACTCTTCCACACACACGTGGGCAGGTCTAGATGTAAACACCAATCATGGTTCACCCCTTCCCCTAGGCCTGGGGTCCCCACACAAGCTGTGTCCCCATCCTATCTTTCTGCCTTCCTCCAAGTAGAGACCCCAGGAGACCAACTGGCTGGCAGGACTCAGAGCCTTCCCAGCTAGGGGAGACTCTTGTCTTACAGTGGAAGAAATGAGCTGCTGAGACCCAAAGGCTGTAAAACCCGAGTGGTCTCTGCCCTGCTGCCACCTCTGATCATCCCTGGTAAATAGCTCTGCCTGCTGGCAAACCAGGACAACTTTAAGTTTTCTTTTTTCTGCAAAGAGAGCTAGAGAACTTTCAAAACAGTGTGAACAGCTTTAGGGTCATGCCAACTTGTCATGTCCAGACACTCTGAGGGGCAAGAAGAAAGCACGCAAGTATCCCTTCCTCCCATTTCCCAGTGCTTCTTAGACCAAAGATGTTGCCCAGTGGCCCCCCAGAGATGTCCCCATACTAATCCCTGGAACCTGTGAATATGGTGCATTACATGGGAAAGAGGAATTAAGGTAGCAGATGAAATTTAAATTGCTTAACTGACCTTAAAATGGGGAAATTATCGTGGATTAGCTTGGCAAGCCCAATATAATCACAAAGGTCCTTCTAAGTGGAGAGGGAGCCAGAAGACAGAGAACCAGAGAGATGGCAGCCTGAGAAAGACTCAGCCCAACCTTGCGGCCTTGAAGATGAAGAAGGTCATGAACCAAGGAATGCAGGAGGCCTTTAGAAGCTGGAAAAGGCGATGAAATGCAATCTTCCCTAGAGCTCTGCTAACACTTTGATTTTAGTCCAGTGAGACCCATTTTGGACTTCTGACTTCCAGAACTATAAGATAATAAATTTGTGCTCTTTTAAGCCACCGACTTTGTGTGCATTTATTACAGCAGCAATAGGAAACTAATTAATATACCCAGTGAGTCATTAACACAAGTGGCTCAAAGCTGAATGTAGGGCACTGGGCGGAGACAGCCTGTTGAAGAAAGAAACTGACTCTTGCTGAATTATTCATAACTTAGTTCATTTGACAAATATTTATTGAGCACCTTACTAGATGCCAGACACTGTTCTAAGCACCAAGGATATATAATAAATAAAAGGAAAAACACCTGCCCCACTAGAAGCTTTATTCTAGCAGGAGAAATAGAAAATAAATAAGAAAAATAAGTAAAATATATTGAGTATTGGATAGTGGTAGATGCCAAGGAGGAAAATAAAGCAAGAGTTATTGTCTGCCCCTTCTGGGCCCCAGAGCTCTCCTGCCCTGACTCGTGTGCACAGTCCCCAGATTAGCTCCCTCAAGAGTCAGGACTTCCCCCAGGCTGCTCCTTCTACAACTGAGCCACCCTGTTCTTCCATTCCTACACCTACATCTTGCGTGTGGGAAGATCCCTGGGTGGGTCCCCATTCAGTCCTAGTCCATCCTTAGCCCACAGCCTCCTTTCCCAATAAGAGCAGGCACCCTGACATAGGCACTTACCCTTAGGTCAACCTGGTATCCATCATGATATGAGGAAGAGGAGAGATCTCGCTCCCCACCCTGCAGTCTAGCCTGACACGGTCAAGGAGAACAGACGTCCCCACTCAGGGAGTCCAGCCTCATGTCCCCTCTCTCCTCCCCCTAGCCTGATCCCGACAAGAGATGTGCTCACATTTTTATAGGAGCTGAGAGTTAGGACTAGCAAAGTCCCAGTGAGGCAACTCCATCTTTCCGACAGACGGAATGCATATTCCCTCCCTGAACTTCTAGCGCAACCTCCCCCAAACCCTGCTAACCCTCTGAGTTTCTGGGAAAGAAAACTTCCTTGGGAAATCACCTCTTCATGTGCACAGTCCAAACCCTGCAACAGGTCCAATCCCACTGAGCTACAGGCCCGGCCCCTTTCTCTACATCACCTCTCCCATCCCATCTGAACAACAGGGTCCCTGATAACTCTCAGATACCTGCGGGAGAAAGAGAGAAAAAGAAGGATAAACTGAGAAAGCCAAAGAATGCAATTCGTCCCACCTTGCTCTCCCACTTGGTCCCTCACCCACCGGGCTGCTGCTTTGATGCTCTCAGTCTTGGTGACATCCAATAGGGTGGTCTGCAGCTGGTAGGAGGTAACCTGCTGAAGCTTCTGGGCCCCCTCCTCAGTGAAGCAAGCAGCCAGCACCCGCATGCCCCGATCAACCAGCTGCGTGGCCAGGAGGTTCCCGAACCCCGAGTCACAGCCCATGATGAAGACGTACTTGTCCGAGAGGTTGCAGACCAGATTGCAGTTCTTGAACATACAAGTACATAAAGGAGAGGTCCGTGATAGGCGCCACAGCAGAGGGGAGAGGTGATGGCCAAGAAGAATCGGGCTCAGAAGATAGCAGGAGAGGCTGGTCCTCTGAGCCCCAGTCTGCTGGAGCCTGTTGAGAAGAGCTCTCCTCCCTTCTGCTGCTGGCGACAGATGCACGGCCGCTGGGTGAGCCACTCTATAACTTGTATAGGTGGATGCATCACCATGCCAATTTGCCTAGATGCAAGAAATTCAAGTCCAACCTGAAGCTTTGTCACTTCAGACAGCCCTGGTGGCTCCCTCTCTGTCTCCCCCAGCCCTAATGGGTGAAGATGCCAAGGATGGGAGAAACCACAGTGGTGATGTTAGTGCTGAGAAGTGGCTCACCTGGGTGGTCTGAGCAGAGGAAAGAAGGAAGGAGGACTCAGCCCAGAGGATCCTCCTGGAAATCCCCCACTTCCAGCCCAGGGATCAAAATCCTTTGTCATGAATGCGGGCATGTGAAGAAATGTAACTGTTATTTTCGGTGGAAAAATTAAGACAAATTCACTAATGCAAAACAAACAAAATTGGTTTTGTGCCCTCCAAACCCCAAGAGAAATGAATTCCAGGTTATCAGCTCTTTGGAATTCTCTGTCCTTAGGTGAGTCTCCATTGCGAGAGATGATGAGAAATAAAGGGTCTACCCCAGGGTGGATGTGCCTTCATTGTCCTGAGGTCAGAGGCAGTAGGCCCCCGCTTAAGGGAAACTGGTTATGAGAGGCCCCAACTCCCAGAAAGCAGAAACCCCTGAGGGGCTCAGGGCCTGGGTCCTGGGGAGGTTATGCTCAGGTCACCAATGAGGAGTCCCCACTGCACTCCAAGCGGGTCCAGCACCCCCCTCACCCAGCAACCAGGCAAATGGAGGGAGTCAAGGACTGAGGACACATAAGCTCCCCCGGGCAGGGCCCCCAGTGAGCATTTTTCTTCTACCTCCAGGACCAGATACACACTAGGTGAGCTGAGGAGCCTGAAGGGGGGTGATGTCAGTGAAAGGAAGGGACTGTAAAGTCAACTGACACAGTGGCTCATGGAAAACGCAGAGGGAAGGGAGGCCAGGAGTCAAAATGATTCTGATAACAGGTTGAACCACAGGTGTCAAGAAAAGTCAGGAGGAGACACTTTGGGCATAGGGAGAGAGGCAGGAGAATAGAGAGTTCTGATATGAGCGTTACTGAGACTGAGGTCCAGCCAGATGATGAAGATGGCTCATGAATTCCCTGGGCAGCTGTGGGAAGGGCCTGGGGCCAAGTCCTTGGCCCTGAGAGGGGATGACATATGGGAAGAGCAGAGGACTGAGGTCAGGGACTTAGAAAACTCTCAGGGTCAGGACTTGGAGGGAAGGGAGAGATTCCAGGCAATGGGGCAAAGAACACACAGAAAGGTAGAAGGGAAGCCAGTAAAGAAAAGGAAGCAAGGATATGAGACAGAGGTATGAGTAGTGAGGGGCCATGCCCAGGGCTGCATAAAATATGGCAGAATTATGCTGGAGTTTGTGGTTTATCTTTGGATAAACCTCTAGGGTCACCATGTCTCAGAACAGGCCTAAGAAAAGAGCCCAGGCTCATCCTGAGGGACCAGGGACAACAGCCTACACCTTCGCTGTCTAGAGGGTCTGACACAGAAATGGGGCCACAAAGTTCTCTAGAGTGAAGGGAAAAGAATGCGTCTCTCTGCTCTATGCTATCTATCTACCAAGGTTAGTCAGCTCCAGAATGTCACCACAAATCTCAGAGAGTCTGGCCATTCTATAACAAGGGTGGTGGGAGTAGCGGGGGTGGGGGTCAGTTCATGGACCCAGCCCTGGGGAGCAGACCCAAAGCCTGCAGGGTATGGAGGTAGGAGGTGGGAGGTGGAGGCGAACCTCACCTACTTCATACCCACCCCAAGGCACAGCACTGCCTACAGTGGGTCTGGGAGGCATCTCAGAAGTCTGTCTGCCTCCTTGGTGAGTGAACAAGGAAGTCTTGGCTGGAAGAAGTCAGACAATGTCACTCAAGGGCTGAGCAGGCCCAGGAGTGTCCCAGTTCTTCAGACAGTCCCAGTTGGTGAGATCCAGGGTTTTGTCTCTAGACCTGAAAAAGAATGACTTGGAACTGTCCCAGCGCAGGCCTAGGCCTGACTCACCATCTCATGGGCCTGTCTGCTGACTGCTGGCTTAAGCAGCACTTCCCTGGACTCAAACTCCCAACATCAGAAAAATGCAGGCCATGGAATGGGGGTTGGGAGGGCTGCAGGACCACGCAGAGGGCTCTTCTCCTAGGACTGAGAATGCTGCCCACTCTGATGAGTGGCCTCCTTATTCAGCTGGCACATGAGGCTGATGGGTCAGGCTGGTGGTTGCCTTGTGCCTCCCCAACCCCTGCTCGCAGGTACTTTCAGTGGAGAGAGGACCCTTTGCCTCTTCCAGGCCATTTCCATCCTGTGGGATGAGGAAACGAAGGCACACTCTGAGGAGATGAACACAGGTAGAGCAGGTGGGGCTGAGCCCCCTCCCAGCGGCTTACACCCTCCAAACAGTGCAGATTCCTCAGGGTGGCAGGAGGGCCATGAGGCTCAGAGCCTTGAGAGGCTGCTCAAGGACCAGGGCACAGATGTGTGCTATTGGCTCCCTGTTCCTCAGCTGCAAAACTTGGTCCTTTCTTCCTAATATCCCCAGAGCCTCAGAAGAAGCCTGGAGTAGAGATAAGGAGGAGGATGAGCTGCATGACCTTAGAGACTGGAAAGCTCCCTCCCTCCACCTTTTTTCCCTTCTCTTGAAGCATCATCCCTCACACAGCAACCCAAATAGACCTCCCATACACCCCAACCTTGACTTCACAGGGCTCTGGCCCTTGAGGAGCTCCAGTAGACCATGGCATCCATCAGGAAGGAGGGTATGTAGCTCTTGGGAAGTAGATGAGCTTGACATCCCAGTCAGGTGAGTATCATCAGGTGCGTGGGTGGCAGGTGGTCAGAGCACGTCCACGCAGTTCATGACCAAGGACAGAGATTCAACTTGCATTTTTTCAAAATACTTTCAGTTATTTTGATGTCTGTTCAAGATGAAAGTTTCCTTATATACTTCCACATCCCTCCTTTCCAATTCACAGCTCTAATATGGGAAGGAACCTTCTAAGAAATCCTGCCCTCCCCCGCCCCACCCCCACAAACTCATGTCCCAAACTAATCCATTCAAATTCTCCAAGAAGCGCCCAAATTCTTACCCCAGGAACAACTGTTCCACGCTAAGCGACCTCTGGCTCTACTTCTGAGAATATCCAATACATAAACTGGATCTTTCTATAAACACTAGAAACCTAAGCACATGAAAACCAGCTGCTCTAAAGTCAGTTTGCCATGAGTCCACAGGTGTCTATCCTCTCTGGCTTCAGTTTCCTCCCAAAATAACAAGGGGTTCAGATAAGACAGTGGTTCCCAGGTTTACCAAGCCTGGATCCTTTCCTTCGGTCACCAGTTGACCACATGGGATCCTGGGGATGGAGCTCATGTGCCCACTGTGTGGGTGAGTCAGAGCCTGGAGGATGGACCTGAGGCTGGAGGAGGTGCTAATGATGGACCCAGGCTTCCAGACAAGGGTTTGCTTCTCTCTCCAAGGTCCACAACTCACTCACCTGAGGCCAGGAATGTCTCCGCATAGAGTTCCTTGACCTCTGAGCTGGCCTGATCCCATGCTGCCTGGAGGCCCCGAGAAATTGCCTCAGGGCTGGTCACAAAGGTCTTGAAGTAACCAGGCTCGATCATCTCCTCCTTCACCCCAAAGTAGGAGAGCTCCTTCCTGCAAGGGAGGCAGGCAGAGGGGCAAAGACTTCAGAGTTTTTATAAACCAAGACACAAAAACACACACACACAAATAAGACACCAATACAGGATTGCAGTGCGATAAGCAGGAAACTCTGGGAGGTTGTGAAGTACAGAAAAGCCAGAAGGAGAAATCTTATGATGTTGTCATTCTGTATAGAGTTTGAATATTTTTCCAAATATTTTATATACATGTGCTTATGCTTCTAAATCCTACCAGTTGAGTTGCAAGGTACCACTTAAGTGCTATCTCCTCATATTCCCCTCACATCCAATTGATCACCAGGCTTTTTATATTTTATCCCCTTCACACTCAATTTCCTCTCTCCCCTATCCTAACCAGTCTACTGCCTGGCCATTTATCAGCTGGGCTGGTGTAACTGGGCTTTAAAATGCACCTCCCTACCTGGGATCACTTCCCTGCCCCATATTCAGAGCCATCCTCAGCCCTGCAGCCAGTAGGGTCTCTACTGCTGATATGATTAACTACTTTCCTTGATTAATTGCTTCCATGGGGTTACACTGCAAACAAGGCTCCCCCAACCTAATATCATAGCAGTAATGTAGGTGGAGCACACTGTAGCCAAATTATATCGGTGACAATTCTACCTCACTTTCTGAGTGTGGGCCAACTTCCAGGGCAGAGTAAGTTCATTCAAACTCTACAGTCGCCAAGTCCATCCTGACACCAAGAACTTAGAAGGGAGCTTCCCAATGAATGCCTGGCAAAAGCAAGAGAGAAAGCTCTGGAAAAAAGAACTCTAAGTCTGTGATGAAAGGAACTCCCTGTAAAAGGCTCCCCCAGAAGCACAGAAGCAGAAGGACCAAGGGGGTGGGGGGAGGGTCTCTGTCCCAGGCCATAACCTGGGGGAGTCCAAGAAGGCCATGCCATATTGGAAATGCAATAACCTCCACCCCAGAGGGACACGCGGCCCGTGACGCTGGAGATGTTGACCACACGGCCCCTCGCCTTCCGCACTAGGGACAGCAGACTCAGGGTCACCTTGATCACCCCCAACAGGTACACGTCCAGTATCTTCATGAAGTCCTGGTTGGTCAGCCACACACTGGGTGCGGTGGACATGGAGATGGTGGTGGTATTCACCAGGCCCCGAAGTCCTGGGAACAGTGAGGGCGAGAGGGCAACACCATGCTGGGCCCGTGAGTGAGGATCCAGCAGAGGTTCCAAGTCACCTTCCACCCAGTGAGGACTTTAGGAGAGAGGCTGCAGGGGGAACGGATGGAACAGAGACCAACATGCTGCCTGTGGGTTTGGGGAGACCAGACGCTGTAAGCGGTTGGAGGACAGAAGGTGCACCACCCTCCTGACTCAGTCTTCACGCCCAGCCCACTGCCTGGTGACAAGGGGCAAGCACCCCAGATTGGATGAAGGCAGGGACTGAGGCTGAAGAAATCTAGTGGGTCCATAGTCTGGAACTTGGAGGGTGAAGTTTTGTGTTTTCACAGTCCATGTTGTCCTTGCAGACATTATCAAAATTCACCTACATTTTCAGATTTTCTGACAGCTGCAGGACTGAGTGCTCAACAACTAGCTAGTATAAGGGAAAGAGAGGGAGACAGAGAGAGACAATGAGGAAGGGAGGGGAAGAGAGGAAGAGAGGAGACAATGGATAAAAGACAAAAACAAAAAAGATGAGAAATATTTGGGTGCAGATTGGCTGGGTAAAACAGACCTGAAATCCCAGGTTTGGGAGAATGTGTTGACAGGCCTGGTATTGACCTCTAGGGCCTGGCTTTGAAATACCCGCATCAATACTGAGCAATGTTCCAGCAGGAATCTGGGGAATTCCATGGGGTAGGCTTTCAGGGGAAGGCAGGGCTGCCACTATTAACCAACCTCCCCCAAATTGGAATTTACACTTCGTCCCAGAAAAATACACCCTCTCCTCCCACCCACACAGGAGGCAACTCTGACCCCATGACTCTCAGTTCACAGTTCACCAAGCTTCATGGAAACCTCTCTGCAAGACTCAAAGACACATACCAAATATTTAAACACTAACCAATTAATAGAACTCAGGGCAGAAGAGCAGGGTCAGGGGAGTTGGGTACAGGGTGTTGGAATTATTAACACACAGAGTTAGTCCCTCCCCTGCTCAGTACCAAGCCTGCCCTTGTAAGAATACATATTCTCCCACCATATTTGACACCAAAGACCCAATTAATATACATGGTTACAACGTAGGGAGTTGGGTAGAAAGTTTACCAAGACATCATTTTGTTGAATCCAATGAATAAAATGTGGGAAACAATTACATTCATGCCATGAGGTACTTTTTACTAAGTAGTGCTATTCTAAAGTATGGAACGTTCTCAATCATTATTTATTATGTTTTTGAAGAAATTTTTGTTATGTGTAAATTTGTTCAACTTCTTTCAGTGGATAATTAGGATACAAATTATGTACAAAATGTAATATCCTGTATGTAAAAATGTTATCAGTACTTATCTGCGGGTGGCGTGATTTGGGGTAACTTTGGTTTTTATCCATGTACTTTTCCCGTTTTTCACAATGATCATGTTTTAAATCTATACTTAGATAAAAGAAATTAAAGTCCTTTCCTTCTACCATAAAACACAGGCAGAACTACAGTAAAACACACACACACACACACACACACACAGAAAAACGAAAAATAAAAGAGAGAGAAAGTAACTCCATAGTAGTTTTCTGACCTTCCTTAGAAAAGTCCTGACAGCTCAGTGTCGACATCTGAAAAATGCGTGACATTTAAACCCAAGTCAGATGACTAGGGGTCACCAGCAAGAACGTGATCAAGTGCTGAGAACTCAGCTCAGCTCCAGCGCCGCTCCCCAGCCCCCCATGCAGCCTTCCAGCCAGAGTGCCCATCTCCACCCGTCCTCCAAAAAGTGCACCCCGATCCCCCTGGTCACTCAGCATCAAGGAACCCAGACCTCCTGCCGAGGGAGGAGGGGACACCAGACAGAAAGTCTGCAAGGACGCATTCTCATCAGGGAAAACTCTCTCCCAAACTGCAGAGCCTCAAGGCTGGGAGGTGGAGGTGGGATGGAAGAGGCTTTGCTGGTAAGCTGGATGAGGAGAAGAACACAGGGAGGACTTCAAGTCCTGGAAAACACCTTGGGAATCTCCCCAGGCAGCTGTCAAGGGGTCTCCACTTCACAGAGAGGAAACAGACTTGAGAAATATGGGTGGTACCTCTGTCCCTCGCATGTTCCTTTACCCACTTGGTGGCTGCAGTGATGCTCTCAGTCTTGGTGACGTCCAGGATCACTGTCTCCAGCCTGTCTGACGTCTGGCCCTTCAGCTGCTCCGCCCCCTGCACCATCAGACATGCATCCAGGACCCTCAAGCCTCGCAGGTCCAGCTGCCTGGCCAGCAGGTTCCCGAAGACCGAGTCACAGCCCGTGATGAAGACGAACTTGTCCTGGAGGTGGCTCACCACCTGCCTCTCCCGGTACCAGCGCAGGAGGTAGTACAGGCCCACGAGGACCACCAGGTACAGCCACATGGCTTTGCAGGGGACAGACACAGGCAGGCAGGGGTGAAACTCAAGTCTGGCTAGTGTTGAGACAGGAGGACTTAAGAACACACACAATGTTGGTTGGCCAACCAGCCTCCAGGCTCTCTGGCATGGAGTCCTCAGGATTTTCCTGTTCAGCCTCTTTAGTGACTATTATTGATTCTGGCCTCAATTTGCATGTTTTTTTTAGTACACTTAATTCATTTCTAATAGACATCATTGCATTTCCAAAACAACGCCTTGAGGATGAGAATGCTTTTCCCAGCCACCTTTTCCTGGTTCCCCACTCCTCCCTGTTTCCTCCTGCCCACCTCTCCTCTCCCCCACCACCACCCCCGCTCACACACATTGGAACACTTATATCTCAGGTCTCATGGTTAAGGGCCGATTTCTTTACTTTTTCTGCTCAAGTGTGGGACCTGGGTCTTTCTGACCTACTGGAGATTCTTACATAGGGAATACACGTGGAATCGAGACACAAGTGGCTTCAAAACCCAGCTCTGCTGCCGACCAGCTGTGTGACCTTGGGCAGCTGGCTTAGCCTCTGAGCCTGGTCTCCTCCTCTGGCTCAGCTCCCAGAATTCACCCCTGAAAGACTAAGTCCCTCTCAGCCTCTCTAGGATTAGAAGGGGAAGGCAAACGAGAATAGGGTCTCTCCTGGTGAAGAGGCTCCCTGGGCCAGAAAGGCGTGCAGGAGAACAGCAGGGGGTCTGATCTCAGAGGAAGGGGAGGGGACAAGAAGGGAATGGGGGCGACACACGCGATGGTGAGACGTCTCCCAGATGCCGGGCCAGTTGTTGGAAGGACTCACACAAAGCTGGTCTAACAGTTGTTCCCCTTTCACTCTGTGAAGATGCCCTGCCCACAGCCCTGGGTGCCCGGCTACATTGCCCTCTGCCCCTCCTGTGCTGAGTGAGGCCCTGCCCTGCCCGGCACCACACCCCGAATCCAGACCATTCAGACACTGAGAAAAGACTGATTTGAATGGGGATCATGGGATGGTGTGTGCGAACCTCCCCCCAGGCAGCGTGGGATGTAAAGCCCAATAATTGGAAAGAATCAGGTCAGTTGTATCAGGGTGATGATGGAGAAGAGGAGGGAGCTGCCCCCTCAGGAGATTAAAGAAAGGACCAGAGGCTGGACCCCAGAACAGCTGTGCATGCAGGGACTTTCACATTCAGTAACGGGGGTGGACCCATCAGGGGCACAGAGCTGGTGAGTGGGGCAGGGACAGAAGGAGCCTGGTTCAGTGCGCTGGGCATCTCCTGACCGTCCACATTTACTACAGCTCCGACTGGTAAGTAAGGAAATACGAGAGGCACTGGGAGGGAAGGAGAGGCTTCCCCAAGCAAACAGAGGCTCAAATGCCCCTGGAACCCACCCCAGCAGCCAACAAAGACAGACAGGGGCACAGATTCAGCCTTTAGTGGTAACTGTCAAGTGCAGGGAGCTGACTGTAGTCCTGAAAGTGTTTGTCCCTCAGGTGGGAGTTGGCAGCAGTAATAGAAAGGCTCGTCTTGCAGAAACCAGCCTGTGCCTGCTTCCTGCGTGACCACCAGGACCCTCCTACATGGGCTTCCCAAAGGGTGAGGACGAAGAAGGCAAGGATGAAGGATGGTGCCCTTGAAACTGTGTGGAAACGGTGTCAGGAAGCCGGGGTGGCATGCAAATCCTAGGCAAATAGAAACCCTGCTAAGGGAGAAGGTCGTGGTTTCTTTACTTGGAAGAAACAAGAGGGTTTTTTCCTCAGTGACCACGAATTGCTTCAACCATAAACTCCCATGGGGCCATGCAGAAGACATGTCCCAGCCGTCATGCCATCTGCTTCCCTTTTGTGAATCCTGAAAGTAATATGATGGCTTGTGGGGGTCTCCGGAGCTTCAGACTACATTCCAGGTGAGAACAACCACAGGAAGGTCAGGAGAGAGCAGTAAGAGAAAGGAGCCTGGGGTGACACTCACTCACCTGGGAGCTGCAGGGGCAAGAAGAAGAAATCCTTCAGAGGCTACGCTGTCAGGGAGACTCACTGACAAAGATCTCTGCAGCTTATGTCCTGGGAAGGGCAGTTGGGCCAGATTCCAGGACAACACCTGTGACCCTCACGTGAGCTGGAGCTGACGCACACACCCCCCGGCGTAGCCCAACAGCATCTCAGTGGGGACCACTGTCAAGTGTAAGGCCATCTCCCCCCCACTCCCTCGACTCCACCCAGGACAAGTCCTCTGAACAGGGGGAGGTGTAGGTAACAACTGGGGGAGCTGGAAGGGGTAGAGAGAGTAAGGGCTAACTGTGCAAGCTTGTTTCCATCTCTACACGTACGCAGTTCCACTGTCTGAAGTGGAGACCCAAAAATGTAGAAACAGACCAGGGCCTTCAGGTGTTGAAGATCTGGTGCTCAGAGGGGATGAGGGTTGCAGGTGGGGAGTCACTGACCCTATGCGACTCACAAAAGACCAGGATAGCCGAGGGAAAGAGTGACAGCAGCTTCCTTGTGGCACTCCCCTGGATCCTCATGGCATGGGTTCCAGCCCCTGCACAGGTCCATCAGACAAGACCTGGCTCCCTCTCCAAGGAAGGCAGCCTGGAATGAGGAGAAATGGGGTTCTGCTGAGGGTCTAGGCTGAGGACATGGGCTGGTGTGCATTGCACTTCTTTTTCAATGCATTTGTTGTTCCATCTTGTCTGAAGTGGGGCCCTTGAGTCACAGTCCACACTGTGGGCCATGGAACCCATCTCAGTGTAACCCTTGCCTCCCCACCCCCGTGTAGGACCAGCAAGGAGGGCCAGGGTTTTGTTTTTTGTGTGTGTGTGTTTTGTTTTTTGTTTTTTTTTTTTGCGGTACGCAGGCCTTTCACTGTTGTGGCCTCTCCCCTTGCGGAGCACAGGCTCCAGACGCGCAGGCTCAGCGGCCATGGCTCACGGGCCCAGCCGCTCCGCGGCATGTGGGATCTTCCCAGACCGGGGCACGAACCCGTGTCCCCTGCATTGGCAGGCGGACTCTCAACCACTGCGCCACCAGGGAAGCCCAGGGCCAGGGGTTGTAATCTCACAAGTTCTCTGACATTCTGGAGAGGATTCCTGGAGGTGAGTCCAAACCTCCTGAACACATACCTCCAAGGCGTAAAGTGAATCAATGATGCGTTATTTGATTTCAGTTTGTTTGGAATCTGGCTCTGTGTGTTTCTCTCTGTGTGTGTATAAATAAAAATACGAAAATCTGGGGTCTTCAGATCAAGTATGAAGCTCTAGCTTTGTATTTAAGAGGTAGACATGATAGACCTTGAGGGGCTGACATGACAGCCTTGGAGTACTCAGAGATCCTTGAGGAAACTCCTAGCCATCTTTGTCTCTTCAGCAGTCCCCTGTCTGACACCAAGCGCTCACCACAGTCTTGAGTTTCAGTGGCCCTGCAACGTTTGAACTCACTCTCTGCTCAGAAATGGTGACACTGGGCTTCCCTGGTGGCGCAGCGGTTGAGAGTCCGCCTGCCGATGCAGGGGACGCGGGTTCGTGCCCCGGTCCGGGAAGATCCCACCTGCCGCGGAGCGGCTGGGCCCGTGAGCCATGGCCGCTGAGCCTGCGCGTCCGGAGCCTGTGCTCCGCAGCGGGAGAGGCCAAGAGGGAGAGCCCCCCGCATAGAACAAAAAAAAAAAAAAAAAAAAATGGTGACACTGTTCTATAACATAAGGTTCCCCTAAAGACTCCATACCCTTGACTTTGAACAAAAGGAGAAAAAAGTTCAGGTTTTCTAGTTGACACTTGGAGAGGTCCCTCCCACTCCAATTTGTACTCAGCCCAGAAATCTGTGACTTTGAACAGATGCCTTCTCCACTGAGTCCATACTCAGACCATCATGAGAAGAGTGGACACATAAAGAGTCGGGGTCTCAGGAAGCACTGGGACATCAAGGGAATTCCTGTCCTGCACACAGTAGGTGCTCAGTAAAGATTAGCAGAAAACATAAGACCGGGGTCCAGAAGTGACCCCTACTCTCCTCCACTGGAGGGTTGGGGGAGGGGATCTGGACCAGGGGACCCAGAGGTTGGCAGAGGATGGATGGTGGTGACTCTAAAGGAAGGGACAGAGGGAGGACCACAGAGAGAGGTTTCTGGTGAGAGAGACACTAGATGTCCCCAGGGAAGGGTCTGGGCCCTGCCTGTCCCTTAGACACCTCTCCTTGTTTGTCCGTCCTGTGTCTAACCCTGGGAACCCAGGTCACTTGATAAGCCCCAGAAAGACACATTAGCCCCTCACTTCTGTGGATGAAGGGATGACCTCACTTCCCTCTTCAAATCCCTCCTCAGGTCACCCCACTCACCCCTTCTCCTCTGTGAGGTCACCTGACTCTTCCTCTCGTAGGCACACACCCACTGCTGCCCAAGGCATCGGTCCCAATCACTGGGGCTGCGTAAACTTTTCAGCTTTTATTTTCAGGAAAATATAATCAATGGAAATGCATGGTTTCAAGACAAAACAAAAATTGGTTTCTGTGTCCTCTGTCAGGACCCCTATTGAGGACGGCCCTTTCCAGCCAAGGTCTGCTGAGTTGGCACCTAGGCTGATGTGTCAGGCTGGTGGTCACCCTCCACACACACCCCTGTCTACAGGTATCTTTGGAAGGGAGGGACCTTTACCTCCCCCAGACCACTTCTATCCCGTGGGAGGGGGAGACTGGCCAGGGCCAAGGCACACCCAGAAGAGGTGGACAGGGGCAGAGGGTGGGGGGCCGAGGCCCTGCCAGCTGCTCACACCCTCCCTAAAGTGTGGATTTTTCACAGCTGCATGTGGAACATGAGGCACTGAGAGGCCACTCAAGGAACAGGACACAGACGTGAGCTATTGACCCCTGTTCCTCAGCCACAAAACTTGTTCCTTTCTTCCTAATATCCCCAGAATCCTAAGTAATGTCCCAAGAGAAGCCTGAGGAGAAGGTGGGGACTGAGGTGGAATGGGTGTCCCCGGTGACATGAGAACCCCTCTCTCCACTTTATTTCCCTCCCTCTGATGCATCCCCTCCCCACACAGTCCCCAACTCCCCCCTACCATGCACCCCAGTCTTTGGTTATAAAAAACAAGGAACGCCACTCATCATCCAGTTCTACAAGGATTAAGTCATTAGTCACTACGTTGCTGGCCCA